GATTTTATTTTAAAAAGCATAAATTAAATCGGTCTTTTCTGGCCGAGAAATTAGGGGATGTCACACAACTTACGTTCAACTTCAAATTTGATCTTTTTTAATGGCACAACATGCTTAGAATCATGTGCTAATATCATGTTCATTGACTCTGTCTGACAGTCATAAGAAAAACGGGCCAAGCAGGTGAAAAAGCTTATGCATAGAGGACTTCTAGGTCTTGAGAAGGTTGATCCCTCCTCACTTTTCCTAGAAACTGCAGGGATCACTTATTCCCAGTACAAGAATTCTGAGAGGATTCTTGGAAATACATTTGGCATGTGTATACTTCAGGTAGATTACAATTGACATTCACTTTAAATCAAGTTCCATGGTATCTTCTACATGTTTATACTCAAATTCCCCCATTTCCATAGGATTTTGAGGCTTTGACTCCAAATCTTCTAGCAAGAACCATAGAAACAGTGCAAGGTAGTGGGTTGGTTATTCTATTGATTCATTCTTTGTCTTCGCTTACTAGTCTATACACCATGGTCATGCTATGATCCATAATTCATTACGCCAGTTGCTTTAAGCAAAACTTATCATGTTCATGTTGTGATTCAGAATTATCTTTTACAACCATTTGCAGGATGTTCATGACAGATTCCATACAAAATCTCATTCTTTAGCAACTGGATGCTTCAATGAACGTTTCCACCTTTCACATGCATCATGTGGATCATGTATAGTTATGGATGATGATTTAAATATCTTACCAATCTCATCTCATATGAGGTCAGTCACACAAGTTCCAGTAGAAGAGATAAACTTCTAATCTCTCAAGCATTATAATTTATCTTAACACAACAAATTTCATACTTTCTAAAACCTTTTTTTTCCTTCATATTCAAAGGACTCTGAAGGGATCTCAAAAGCAGAACGTGACTTAAAAGATCTAAAAGAGCAATTAAATGATGAATTTCCTATTGGCCCATTGATTAAAAGGTGTTGCACATTGGACCGGGTATTGACTTTTTATATTAGTACAAGTTTACCAGTTCCATAATTTGTAAAATTTATATGAATTTACTCAGGGAAAAATTATGATTACTTTTATTGATGCAATTTTGGACAAAACACTTCGTAGCAATATGGCTTTACTTGTTGGTAGGGTTAATTAAATTTATTTATCATAAATGGAGTTAAGAAGGTTAATGAAGATAGTGAAATTAATGATAATGGAAAAGCAAGCCTTTTCAACTTAAATCACATGGTTTATAAGAATAGAGTAAATCAAAGGGTAATTATTTCCTGAATCCCTGAGCGAATTGTCCAGATATCATATATATTTTCATTTTTTGGATTTTTACAGTATATATATTATGTCACGTGGTGTAGAATGAAAGTTTTTTTTTTTGAAAGGGAACTTCCCTAACGAGGGTTTTCGGGCCAGATTTCGCGCACCGACTAATCCCCCGCTGCAAACATAAAGCTTTGTCTCATGCCCTGGAATCACTGCAGGCGAACCTCCATGGCCACAAGGGCTGAGTGGTGCCAGGATTTGAACATGGGTCAATAGGTTATCCACCATATCTTCCACATGTCTTACCAAGTCACCACAACCCAAGTGGTTTGGTGTAGAATGAAAGTTACAGTCCACAAAATTGAAATAATTATTTCCAATCATATATCAATAGTATCTACAAATGCATGATTGTCATTTGAAATTTATTGGTTGGTATCATGGATGTTGCAGTTTATTGGGAATGTCCAAGGAGATGAACCTGTAGCCATGAATTTCTCTTATTTCCAGTAAATTGGAGGTGTGACTATCATAAGAAGGATCCCTTGGTAACGTTTTGGCATATATAAAATTTAGAAGGTGAATAGATAACTGACATTTGTATTTATAAGTTTTATTCCTGGATTTGACTTGAGTTGATTTGGGATTGACACTGATTGTGGAAAATGTCTACCTATTGAATTGTTTTAAATTGGCAGCAAAATATGAGTCCATAACGACCACATTGTATTAGTTATTTATTTTAGCAAAGTTATTTACTTTTCCAATGGTTTGAAAGAAAAGAGATCAGCACACGATACTTTCATTTTTGTTATACCGATGGCCTAATACCATAAATAGAAACGTACTTTCATCTATCGACTTTTTATTCAACGACTCTAAAAAACTTTATGCTATGCTTTCTTTTATAAATAGCTTCATGACACTTCATAGCCAAATTTTGTCCGGACCCATCCAAACCCACGCCATCGACACGAGGGGTCTTCCTCTTCCATTAGTTATGTATTAATCTTTAAATATTAGTGTTAGAAAAACTTGTTTTTTATATCAAAGTTTGTACTAAATTTATTTCGCACATTGCTTCAGGAGAAAATTTATTTCGCACATTGCTTCAGGAGCGTTGCAAGGGTTTACAATATGTCATGAACTTAACATGCATTCTAAGATAATAATGTCATTTCGCTCCCGCAACATTTACAATAACGAAAAGAAAAGAATAGTAACACAAAACATGTATAAACATATATGTTCTTTATTAATTCAATAATAACAACTAAATCAATGTGTTTCAATAAGAGATAACTATTAAAAGACTCAGTGTACCTCTAAATGTTTTTTTAAAGTTAGATACAAAAGAACTACAAATAAAAAAACCTGTTAGAGGACTTCCATAACTAAAACTAGAGTAAGGGTGATCAGGTTTTGTAACAAACTATCCTTCTTTGAATATCAATTTGGTATGGTCGTTTAACATCAGTCGCCACCCCGATAGTTTCAAGGAGACGTATCACATACCATGTCATATCAATTTGCCACCATTCTAAACCAAACTTTGCTGAGTACTGAAATGCATGATGATTATTGTGCCATCCTTCTCCAAATGATAGTATTCCAATCCACCTATTTAGTGTTTATGGTTGTTGGTTATCTTTACAAGCATATATAGCTAAAAATGAAATCATGGTTACTTTTAATAGAAGTTATTGTTTACCAAATATTCCGAGAAAGATCAGTTGTGGCCCATGTCTGGTGTCCTAATCCATGACAAACGGCGTTCACCAACCATGACATATGGTACAAGCATACTACCCTCATAGCCTGCTATTGAATAATATTTGTCACTAACAATTTCATTTTCTATAAAAAGAACTTTAAACATTGTTAATGACAATTAGGTATGACAATTAAATCTACATAAACCAATGAAAATCTATTTTTATTTCATAAAACAAGCATTTTAGTCGAGATATGTTGAGCTCAATTTTCGTTTTATCATGAGCTCAAGCTCGGGAGGTGCAAGGTGTATGCTTTGTTGCATGAGCTGAGTTGATCTCAAAAGCACGATCTTCGAGGACAATTTCCCTGGTGGTGTTCCAAGGAGCACTTGGTGGCGGCTTAAAATTGTATCTTTAGGCTATGTTTGACGTACTAGCTGAAAAGCTAGTTATTAGCTGAAAAGTTGGTTGATAGCTGAAAAGCTGGTTGTTAAATAAAAAACTAGCTGATAACTAAAAAGTTAGCTGATAAAAAACGGCGTTTGGTAAAACTAGTTGAAATATATAAAATGACATAAAATGACATTTAAATGAATGTGTTTCTATAATTAATTAAGGGGTATATTTGAAAATTTTAAAAAGAGCTCCTAAAATGCTAGTTTAAGTAGTTTTTTTTAAAAAGTCGTCTTATAAGCTGCTTTTTGATTTGTCAAACATAACAACTTAAAAAAACTCGAAAAATAAGCTTAACTTATCAGCTGGTTGTGACATGTCAAACGCAACCTTAATATAATAAATATATTCACTTATATATTATTTTTTCGAAAAAATCAACTAATGCGTATGGTAACATATGCAACTTTTCCTAGCAAAGTAACCGAAATTAAACGCCTATTCCTATATGAATACGTTTCGATTTGAAGAAGACTAGTTTTTCCCTAAAGGTTTTCTATAACTTTTTCTAAAAAGACAAAATAAAGCAATGTATAGTTGTATATTATGTTTTTCTCTTGTTTTTGCTGAAAATCAAGAGAATAGTTTTTTGGTATCCCAAATCTAATTTGTGTAACCCTGTTCTTATAGTTCGTAATTACATATTCAAAAAAAAAAAAAAAAAAAAAAAAGTAGATACACAATTCTAGAAATATATATCCGAGATTCGTTTGATATTTATTGCCTTCTTTTGTTGTAAAATCTCATTTTTCGTAAACTTTTTCAAGATGTACTAATGAGTCATACACAATTATTTACTTTTTAACTTATATTTCACATAAAAATTATGAGAAACATTTTCAAGGTTTATCAATCCACGACTTTCGTGAAGCTAATAGTTAGATACTACAAAATTAGAGTCTATTAATAATATTTGGTTGTTTTATATGTATTTAAGTTTGTTTAACAATCGGCACCACAAATATTTTTAGATTTAAGGGGTTAAATGATATTACTGTTTATTTGGGGGCAAGAACGAAGTTTTGAGAATTGGGTTGAACATATTTAAAATTTAAATTATAAAGAAAACTTTAAAAATCTTTTTTTTTTTTACCTTTTTTATAAAATTAAAAAGACAATCATTAGCAATAATATAGAGTACTACTAGTCTTATTTTGAGTTGTGGTCTTTTTAATGATATAATTTATTTTTATTTTTAAATACTTTGATATATTAAATTAATATGATAATTATGATTGGATATCAATTGAAATATTGAAGAGAAAGGGATGAAAGGTTAAACAAAAGATGAAATCTACTATAATAAATGAAGATAATTTTGACACTTGTCAATTTTTAATAAGTTTTGACACTTGTCATTTATGATATTTTTTAAATAAATAATATCCATATGTCAATTTATGGTTTTTTTCAATTTTTAAAGTTAAAAATCCATATAATACTTATATTTATATATGTAAATTATCAAATTTATAAATATTATGCTAAATTGCAATTAATCTGTTTTTTATTTCAAAATTTCATTCCTTATTTCAAAATTTTATTTTAAAAAATAAATATTATTTACATTTTAATATTTTGTTTATTTTAATCAACCCGTATAATACACGGGTTTTACACCTAGTAAAGAATATATAATGAAAATTAAAATTCAGGTCAATACTCCAACTCTTTTAATATTTCATAATCGATCCATTTATATGGACCGGTTCATTTACACGTGAAAAAAAAAGAAAATCCTCGAACATTAAATATTTTAAAAGAAAATAATTTATAAAGATAATCAAATATTATAAATATATATAAAAAAATAACATTAAGCTTTTCATTAGATATGTATTATCAGCAAATTATGGTTTTATATACATTTAATCATTAAAGTTTAAAGTTTATCTTCTCCTTGAAAAATATATAATTGAGTATAATAGGGTATCAGCCACACACATCTCATCCCATATGGCATATGACATATGACATATTTTAGTGTTGATGGTGTATATATTTTTACTATTATATTTTTTTTTTTTTTGTACAAATTTAACATTAAATTTTTTCATACATATTTACTATTAATCTTACACATTTTGATTAAAAATTAACATTTCATAAAGTACATATATTTTAATATAAATGCGTATTTTTACTTATAGATAAAGTGTTTGTATGATAATTTTTTTGTTTGAATGTCAATTATTGGTCAAAATATTTTATTTTATCAATCTAGATAATCTACCTCAGTTTAGAATATGATATAACAATTTTTTGATTGAATACTCATCATTTATGCAAATCCAACACATAGATGGAATCAAATAGTAATTAAAATGCGAGGTTTTTGGCTTGTTTTCTCAAGTGAAACGAAACAATTGGGTGACAACGATTTCCATTTCAAAAGTGATTCACGATTACTAAAATTCTAGAGTGTGAAGTACATTGTGTGACTCCTATGACTTTATTAAAATTTAGTTTTGGTGATTAAAGGCAACTCCAAATTTGTTTATTTGCTCATTGTAAATTGTTATGTTTTCGATTTGTTTTGGTGTGTGGAATCTCTTTATGAATCAGTTTCATATAAAGGTGAAGTTTCATGTCGCATACCAAGTGTTTGATTAAAGACATCAAAGAAATTAAATGTGTTCGTAGATGAAGAGCATAAGCTCATGAGCATTTTGTATACATCCATGTATTTGGAAAACTTCACGCCTAAGTATAAAGAACTGGATACCACTTTGTATCAATATTTCATACAATCGTGGGGAGAAAACATACAGTGTACGTGTGAGTTCTCCAAGACATGAGGAAGCAATAGTATGAGATTTTTTAAGGGTGTTTTAGTTAGTAAATAATTGAAATTTTGACCCCACGATTTTGGCTCCAAAAACATGGGTAAGCCACAAACATTTTTTTTAATATCACCTTTATTAGGGACAAAACTTCGATCATTGCTGACTAAAACACTTTTCAAAAAATGTTTATATTGTGGCATTCCCTTGGAGGACTTACACCTAAACAATATGTTTTTTCCCTACATCTGTATGAAATATCGATACAAAGTGATCTCCCTTTCATTATACTTAGTCGTGGGGTTTTCCAAATACATTGATATGTACAAAATGCTCATCAGCCTATGCGCTTCATCTAAGAACATACTTCATTTCTTTGAGGACTTCAATGGTGTGCGACATGAAACTCCACCTCTAACAACATAGCAATTCACAATGAGCAAACAACAAAATTGGACATATCAAGTTTAGTAATGAAGACTCACTTGTGAGTCTTGATCAAGAAAACAAGCAAACAACAAAATTGAGCAAACATAGCAATTCACAACGATTGCAAATTCTCTATCTAGTTTTATGTAACTCAACATATCCTTCTCATCAGCTCATTTCTCGTATTTTTTTCCCAGTAACACACATTTTACGGTTTAATTGTTGACCTAAACATCTAGTCATTAAATGAACTGATGAGATGAATATCTACTTTACGGTGAACATATCATTATATAATTCATCATATCCATCTCATCGGCATGAAACATGTAAAATATGTGTTATAGGGAAAAAAAAAGGTCAAATCATTACTTTTATCGGTAATTAATGTTTTTTCGTAAACAAAATTTATTTTGAGAATTATTCATAAATCAGGGTAAAATAATGAGACTTTAATGTATCAAGTTTAGTAATGAAGCCGATAAACTGGAAAAAAAATGGTCAAATTGTTATTTTTACCGGTAATTCATGTTTTTTTGTTAGCAAATTTTAGTTTAAGAATTATTCGTAAATTTGTGTAAATAATGAGACTTTAATGAAGATTTCTCTTAATATTTTTTTTTTATCAAGATATATAATAATTTATAGATATCTTTATTTTTATTATATATATTAGCTATAAACTATAAAATAAACATGTTTAATTGTTTGATCATATTTGACTTATAAACATAACGTTAATATGATTAAATTATTTTACAAAGTTGTAAAAAACATTCGACGTTAGCTAGTCGGTGAATTAGGGTTAAGGGATTACTCGACTAGGTGGAGATTAACCGGACGATTAAGTGGAGACCCTAAATGGCTAATTCGATGAATTTAAAAAAATTAAATATGGCTAATATCATAACAAGGTTCGTAAATACCATTAATATCATAACACAATAGGTTAATATGCTTAATACAACACTAATCATTCATTAAATAGTTCATATTGAGATAAAACTTCTCTAAAGTTTTGAAATTTCATCGTTTGTTACTGTTTCGTTCATTTTGTAGGCAGAGGTTAATCGCTAAATTCCTTTTAGTCGGTTGAGAAGCGTCTAAGGACTAATCGGCGATTAATCGTGACCTCGTTGATATGTTTACATCACTTCTTATTTAAAATAATTTCATTAAGGTGAAGGGGTGTATATCTATCACATTATGTGGTGGGTTGAAGTGGTTGGTGTCGGGCATAGGGAACACCACACCTAGTGGAGTGCGGGTGTGCGGTGAACCGCCTACACGAATTGATTCCATTGCAGTTCTCTCTATTTCCATGCTCCTTATTATTGTATAAACATCTTATTGTTGTATATTTTAAGGTGAATGATATGTGACTATTTCCTAGCAGTGATGGGGTGAGAGGAAAATGTCGAGGAAAATGACATTGCGATGAG